TACCAAAAACTTACCCGATAAGTGCTTATCGGTAAAATCAACACTATTGTTTACTTATCGGGTAAGATTTTACTCCACAAAAACAACAACGCATGCAATAATTTACCTAGTAAGCTTTTACCGTGGTAAGAGTCATCGCCTTCATTTACCGGATAAAACTCTTGTTCATTGTCTCGCTCTTACCGGATAAGATTTTTGGTCTTTGTCATATTCATCTGTTAAGGTAATGTGACTTGGTAAACACTTACCCGGATAAACGTTTGGTAAACGGCCCCTAAATGTATGTAAAAGTTCATGAAAATGACTTAAAAAGGGAAAACAAAGGTAAATAAATGTACTTGAAGGTTGTTGGATGTAATTGAAGTTATTGAGAATAGTTTTAAAAAAATAAGTTAGATTAAAAAACAAGTTATCCAAAGGCTAAAAAGTGTTCTCATATTTTTGATCATAAGGTGGCGTTTGGTTCGCATGATGTTTTTTGGTATAATGAAATTTGTTAAATAAATTGACTTTGAATGAATTGAAACAGAACGTTGTCAAGGTTGACTACATGTTTGGTTGACAGACGTTGGAATGAAATATGTTAAAAAATTGAAATTTGTCTGTTTGGTTCATACAATGTAGCTTTATAATTGGAATGAAATATTGGTAAATGACAAAAATAGAAAATTTTATTCCATCAAAATACCATGTAGTTGCTAAGGAATGTTAAATTTATTTATTTATGGAATTTGCAATATTTTGAAAATTTATTTCGTGAAAAAAAATGAACCAAACAAGAGAATAAAATTTGATCCATGAAATTCAACATTCCAATTCTTTCAGAATCTGCAAACCAAACCCCCCCCCCCCCTTTTTAAGTGCTATTGTCACACAATCACTCTATCTAATAAATAAATAAAGGAAAAAGTACAAAAAAACTAACCAACTTTTCCATTTTAAATGGTTTAGTCCATAAATTAATTTTTTTTAATCAAAAAAACCATTAAACTTTCTCATTTTGGATGATTAAATACCTGAACAATTTTTATTAATATAAACCAATGCATTTTTAAAAATTGATTTCCTACAAGTTTTTTACCCGATTTTTTTTACATATAACCAAATAGCAAAACGTTTGATGGTTTCTTTAGGGTCCTAATAATTTAAAATAAGAAAATTTAATTATTTTTTTATTTAAAAAATAGTTACAAGATTTAATCATTTAAAATAAGAAAATTTAAATTTTTTTAATTTAAAAAAAGTTCAAGGACTAACTTATATGCATTTAAATGTGTACCAAAAAAATAAGCTAGTGTTGTAGGATAAGTGTGTCATTGTCTAAAGAAAATGGTTATAGAGAGAACATATAGATATATCAGAGTTAGACTATAACTGGAATATTTCGTAGTTATGTACTTGTAACTCATCCCTGTATAAATGGATCATCATTTGGCACAAGGTTTCTCACAACATCCTGAATTGACCACGATAGGACTTACTATCCCGTGATGAACGTTGTAGCGTTCTACTAATTAATTAGCCTAGTAGTTTACCAAAGGACTGGAACTGCAGCTCATGAATGTGGTTATTACATATTTTTTATGGGGATCTAAATTTAGAGATGTATATGATGGTAATACGCTACTCAAATCAAGTAACTCTAAACCACATAGTGCGCTTGCAATAAAATTGAAATGCTCGTTTTATAGATTAAAGCAATCTAGGCGGATATGCAACACTCGCTTAAGTGAACACTTGATTGGGAAGGGATACAAGAACAATGAATTGTACCCATGCGTGTTTATAAAGAAAACGAGTTCCAAGTTTTCAATTGTAGCTCTATATGTCGATGTTATGAGCATAATAGACACTCTTGATAAAATAAGAGACACACCATAATCTACTTGAAATCTGAATTTGAGATGAAAGATCTTTGGAAAACTTGGTCTGTCTAGCTATTGGAGCTTAGACACCGAGCTTGTGTAATATTAATCCCCTGATCCGCATATGTCTATAAAACGATTAGGCAATTTTATATAGACGAAGTGCATCCGGCTAGTACTCCCATGATCGATCAAAGTGTTGGATATAAGAAAGATCTATTTCATCTAAAGAATGATGATGAAGAGGTGTTTGGAGCTGGAATTTCCTATCTAAGTACAATAGATGCATTGTTGTATTTAGCACAATACACTTGACCATACATTGTATCTCTCAATGAACTTGTTAGTTAGGTTTAGCTCAACGCCAACACAACATCATTGGAATGATATCAAATTAATCTTTTAGAACAATTGATGTGGGATTGTACCTTTCTTACAAAGACTCAGAGAGAAAAATGAGATCGATAATGGAACTTCGATACCTACTTAGATAGTGAACGACAAAAGTACTAGCTTTTATAGAAGAACTCCAGACAATGTCTTGCTATGCATTTGATGATACGAGGTATCTATCTGACTCATACAAAAGTTGTTCTCGTACTGGATAAGGAATTACCACAAGGAACATGTCGTTTGCTTATAAATAAACAAAGCAAATTCTTGTAGCCACCTCTTTGAACCATTCCAATGATATTACTCTGCATGAGACTGCTTAATATTATACATGGTTAAGGACTATCATTACACATATTATATGAGATATTGTTTTGAGTTCATCCAATACCCTGCTGGCATTTACAGAAATGATGCATCATGTATCAAAGAATTGAAAGTAACTATATCAAGCAAGATAACACAAAACATATTTTGCTTAAGTTTGTATACAATCAGCAATAACAAACACTCCTCAAGATTCAAGTAAATCAAATAAGATGCAAGGAGAATATAACATGTTTTCTTACCAAATCATTATCTAAAACCAAATACGGGAAACATGTAGAAAGTATAAGAAGTCATAAACTTTCCGAACTCCATTGATTAATGCACGAATCAGGGGGAGTAGTAGACAAAAGGGGAAGTCTACTATATTGGTATGTTATGTTCTTTTCTTCACCCAATGTTTTATTTTTCCAATTGAGTTTTGTTCCTTAGTATAAGGTTTTAGGGATGCAACAATTTATATACATCCTGTTTTCCCAACTCTTATGATTAATAAACGAGTCCAAGAGAATATTCAACTAAAAGAACAGTCTATGTATTGCAAAGAAGTTGGTGCATTGTACCCTTTCCCTTGTCTTATTTCTATTTTCCCACTAGGTTTTTATTTTGGTGTAAGGTTTTAACGAGACAAAAGTTGTGCACAATCACTCATTTTATTCGATACATAGAGGAGTGTTGTAGATACATGTGTCATCATCTAAATGATATAGCGATAGAGATAACATATAGATATATCAGAGCTAGATTAAAACTGAAATATTTCATAGTTATCTGCTTATAACTTATCTATACTATCTTATAAAGCATTTGGTTAAAACTTTTAAAAACTCTTAAACCCGTTCATCCCTATCCGATTTCATTCCATATCTGAATTCGTGTAACTAACTGCAGATAAACACAATCAAATACATGATAAAAATCTCATTTTAAATATAAAAAATCTAAAATATAATTAAGATAATCATTGAGTTCTAACAGAATACTTAATTATTATATTTATAAAATGTTATATTATTAAACCAAAAATAAATTATTTCATTATTAAACTTAAATTAAATTATAAAAA